CATTCTCCGCGCAGACGGCAAACAAGTACTATTGGATCCATCGGGCCCGGGGAGGAACTCGGTGCGAATCAGGTCAAGGAAGACGTTCACCACGCATGTTGTTGTGTAAGCCGCCGTTCTCCGTGTCTGCCTCTGCAGGGCGCTGATCACTCATTGCGCCCTTAGCTTCGACGTGAGGCATATGCCGGAAGGGTGTGGGTTAGTCTCCGAGGAAATGATGTTGCTTGATCGTGTGCTGAGTTTCTATGGTTTAGGACTTGGCCGGCTGTATGGGAGACGCAGGAGGAGGGTTGGCCCGTTGGTGGTGAGGTCGACATCATTGAGGGCGTGAACAACATCGGGACGAACGCAGCGACGCTACACACCAGTCCTGGTACGTTTGCTTCCACCTCACTTGTCCAAATGTCCTCTCTCTTACAACTACAATTGCTTTAGGATGCTCGATTCACGACAGCGCGAAAGCTGGAATGACCGGGTTTATCTCCCCCCCCCTCACCTCCATCATCACCTCCTCCTAACGCACCTCATATAGGACCTTCAAACAACAAGACTGCAACTGGCTCGTCAACGGCAACGCTGGCTGTGGCGCCCTCATGCGCGACCAGCTCAGCTTCGGGCCGTCCTTCAACGCGAACGGCGGAGGGCACTTCGCGTTCGAACGTACGCCGAGGTACATGAAGGTGTGGTTCTGGCCTAGGAGCGCAGGGAATGTACCGAGGGATCTGGGGACGCAGTATGTGAATCCGGATACTTGGGTATGTCCTGTTTTAACTTAGCTTGGAGGTGGTTTGGCCTAATGCGAGATTGGTTGTGTAGGGGATCCCGGCAGTGTTCTTTCCGGATACGAGCTGTGACTTTGAGAAGATGTTCTCCGCGCATCATATCATTATCAACTTATCTTTGTGTACGTTAATCCCAATCGTTCTCTGTCTGCGCCATACTGACGCGCATTTTTTTATAGGCGGCGAATGGGCTGGCCACCCCGCCATATACCCCGCTTCCTGCCCTCTTACCTGTGTCGGTGAGTGCATGTTCTCGTCCCAAGCGATTGACATGAGATGCTGAATGTGTCTTCCATATCACAGAGCACGTCAACAAGAACCCCACTGCATTCAAGAACGCGTTCTGGGACTTCAAGGCTATCGATATCTACCAGCGCGATACCAGGGTTTGTAAGAATAAGTCGAAGAGGAGCGCGATGTAGTATAAGTACGGCGTACTAGGGGCTTGTAATGGGTCTGTTCTAAGTATTTCTAGAGCACGGGGGTGATTGGACTTGGACTATGTAGATAGATTTTTTTTTCTCTCGTTGGGCTAGTTGTGTATTGATCTTGTATTTGTCGCACGAATCAAGGGTTGAATCGATTTGTTGCTCTGTGTACAGTAGTGCTTCATCGTCGCCGCTAAGACTGTCTTCCAGAACACGGAGCCTCAGCCGCTCGCGAGTTCCAAGTGAACACAAGGAAACACGTTCTTCATGCATCTACAGTACGCCTCTCCCTACACTACAACGCCTCCGAGTCTTCTAGCCACCGCTAGCAGACCGATGACTTCGCTAGCAAACACAGCGAATACGTGACCCAGCAGGCGCAGCAAGTACATCTATCCCGTCTTATTCTTACTCCTCTTCCCAACCTGCGCCTGGTATCCACTCTTGATCGTGTTGACGGACCTTCGCGAACCACAGCTCTCGCACGACATGAAGAAGATCCGGTTTTCTTTGGTGAGAAGGGTTTCGGGCGATTTGCAGGTTTTGCAAGTGACGTATTCGACTGGATGGGTGGTTGGGTTAGCAGTGCGTGGAAGGAGGACGGAGATGAGATGAGATGGAAGGCGGGTAGGATAGGGTGGATGGGTGGTAGAGATAGCGAAGTGGGAAAGACGGCGACGCCGGAGGTGTAGATGGAGATAGGAAGATACTCGCCGATGTATCGCCTGAGAACGTTCTCGATTTGTTTCTGCTGGAAACGACCCTTGATGACGAGACGCCCCGCACCGTCGACGGAACCCGTCGTACCCATTTCGGAGAACATGTATTGGATGACGTGCTCGGGCTAAAGAGAGTGAAGATCATGTCAGAATAGATGTCACAGAAGGCGGGGTGAGAGGGCAAGGTGGAATCGACGACAGCGGGCTAGAAGGGAAACGGAAACACACCTGTCTGTGCATCCGCTTGCAGATATCCGTAACGTTCGCGAATATAGACTTTTTGTTACCCTCTCTGTGGATCGACGGTGGTGCGATGGTGTATCGCTTCTGCGATGACGCAGACAGAAGCGACGGGTTAGCAGCGTGGAGGGAGTTGTAGAACCGCGTGAGCAGCTAAACCAACACCGTATCATAAGTGAGGATGCCTGCAGTGACGATAGAACGAAACTCACCTCATTATACGTATACTCCCTCGTCGTCCCCAACCACGCCTCATTGCCCGACTCCACGCCCACTGGCGCGTCCTTCGCCACCGCGAACACATCATCCCCCAGATCCTCGTTCTTCAGATGATCCAGGTCCCTCTCGCCGTCAGGAACTTCGCCATCTTCCTCGCCGTCAGCGTCGGCCTTGGGCTGGGACTTGGACACCTCGAGCTCCTTCTCAAAGGCTTCGAGGTCGAGCGCAGCCTTTTTCTTAGACGACTTTTTCTTCTTCTTGAGGTCGGAGAAGTCTAAGTCGTCGCCTGCGCCGGAAGAGGGAGCTGCCGAAGCTGCGGGGATGGGTGTAGATGCGCCTGAGCCGTCCTCACCCTAGTCGTCCGTCCGTCAGATGAGCTTACGCTAAAGATAGAGATAGGGAAGAGGGAAAAACGAAACATACCAAATCCATAGGGATATCCTTCTTCTTCTTTTTCTTCTTCTTCAGATCTGCAAACATCGCGTTTGGGTCTTCCTCTCCCTCTGCTGCAGCACCTGCTTCAGCACCGTCCAACTCCTGCTTCATCCGTTCGTGCGCCGTCGCCGGTCCAAGATCAACAGGATCGCCCGACGTCGTGGTGCTGTCGATCACGTCTGGCGCAGGCGTCGTAGGGTCGGCATCTGCACCAAGAGGGTCCTCAGTGAAAGCTACGGTCTTCTTCTTCCTCTTCTTCAAGCTCGTGTCGAATAGCGGCTCTTCGGACATCGTCGTGGGCGTTGATAATAGAGTGAGTGAGTGATGATAACGTTAACTGACTCCAGCTCTTGCGAATCACAATCAGTCTCAATGATCATTGATTGACTGAACGCTTGCGATGATGTGATTAGTCATAAAGTCACAAACTGTGACCAGCGGCGTGACGTCCATCACCCAAATTATTTCCCGCGTCCTTCCATTCACCTCCTACCCTACCCTTTTCTTCTTCCGTTCAATATGCTCGCCCGCCGTGCAGTCGCTCGTTTGGCTACTCAGCCGAGCCCAATCCAGGCTGGCGCCAGGAACATGGCTACGCTGCGTGAAATCGAGATGAGGTTAAAGTCTGTCAGGAACATTGAGAAAATCACAAAGGTGCGTTGCGGCGGGTTTCTCCGGGTGCGCGTACTGACAACTTTCACTTGACCTGCTAGTCGATGAAGATGATTGCGTCGACGAAGCTGGCAAAGGCCCAGCGCGCAATGAACGCTGGAAAGCAGTATGGACTTGCCAACGCTGGTGAGCACGAAAACCACGACCACCCCACGTCACATGTATGCTAAAACACCTGTCGTGCTCTAGAGGTCTTCCAGAACACGCAGAGCGACACTCCCGCCACCCGCAAACTCTTCATTGTCATCTCCTCCGACAAGGGTCTCTGCGGTGGTATCCACTCATCTGTCTCCAAGGCCACCCGCCGTGCCCTCAACAACTCGCCCGACTCGCCTCTCGTCTCTGACATCTCCAAGACCGCCACCCCCGCCAAGGTTGACGCCGATTCGCCTATCATGGTCATTGGTGACAAGTCCAAGGCTCAGCTGTCCAGGGCTCTCGGCGGCAACTTGGTCATGACCTTCAACCAGATTGGAAGGAGTATCCCCACTTTCTCGGACGCGGCGGGTGTTGCGGATTTGATCACGACGAGCGGGGTGGAGTACGACTCGGTGGTGTTGATCTACAACAAGTTCGTGTCGGCGATTTCATACGAGCCGGCAGCGTTGGAGATCAAGGGAGAGCTTGGCTTGAAGAACAGCGGTAAATATTTCTCTCCTGGTCTGGGCGAACCTGAGAACTGAATGTGGCGTTTTAGACGGCTTCAAGGCGTACGAGATGGAGGACGACGTCACAAAGGACCTCGCTGAGTTCTCCCTTGCCAACGCCATCTTCGCTGCCCTCACCGAGGGTCACGCTTGCGAACAGTCTGCTCGGTACGTCTCGTTTCTTCTTCTACTTCCGCCTGGCATCCGCGGCCCTGCTTTCTATCCGCATGCATTGGCTTTTCTGCGTCAGCTATTCCGTATACTCCCTACGCGCATACGTCCACCCTTATCTCTTGCATGCCGTTCCCTTGACGTCCTCTCCTTGCGCGCCGTGTCTCAACTTCCATTCCAACCTCACTCTGCTTCTTCTAACGACCTACTCACGCTCCATCTTCCTCTAGCCGTACCGCCATGGACAACGCCTCCAAGAACGCCAAAGAAATGATCGGTTCCCTCCAGATGCAGTTCAACCGTGGTCGCCAGGCCGTTATCACGAACGAGCTCATCGACATCATCACCGGTGCCAGTGCGCTCTAAGCGTGTCGTAGATCTTTATTGTGTCGTAGACTTGTAGAATGGCTCAATCGATTTCGATGAACTTCTTTCCTGCGGGCGAGCTGAGGTTGTTCCTTGGATAGACACTCTGCAAGTGTATCTGATTGAGGGCGTATGTAAGTAGGAGTCAGGCGCGGGCCGTGCATTACGCAACGTGGGCGTTTTCTGCAGTTGATTGGTACTGGGTGGGGCTCAACCTGAGTTCGACCTTCAGGCGGCTGAGCTTGAGAAAGGGGTGTAGGTTTTCTCATTACTGAGCTGCAAAAAAACATTATGATAAGCCGTAAACCAGTGGATAAACGAGCATCAATGGGGTAGTGGTAACCTGGGTCGTTGCCATATGAATACTGTGCATTCACAGATTCGACCCGCCGGGGGTTCGATTCCCTCTTGATGCATTACGGCCTTTCCACGGATTCACTTTTGCACCGTCTGCACAATGCGCACTCTCCTTTTTTTGTTTTTCTCAGCCGAATATGTTCAATGTTTATAGTAAATACTGTGCAACAAACTTCCTCATGGATCAACGCACCTGGAGGCCCTCAGAGGAGCAAGCCTCAATGTAAGATCGTCGGAAACCAGTGGAAGCCTGCTTGCATCGAGATGCAGGAGTCGGTTAAATTAAGATTCATTGAGCATACTTGTCAGACGCTGGGCGGTCTGCGGGAGGGGAAATCGAGGACGGGAGAGTTGTGCAATGATGTGCCTTACGCACCGAGAGCTCGTCTAGACGGTTGAAGCTGCGAAGTCAATGTCCAGTGGCTGGATAAGCTAGAGGATCGGTGGCATGTAGTAGTGGCCTTCAAGGGAACTTTGGTCGACGTGTGTGTGTGGGTTGTAGAATGCTCGAATGTAATCCCTAGCAGGAAGCAGACCAGGAGGCTTGGCACGTTAACAATATTATACGTTCGAGTATTAGTGTAAGTAACAGTACAAGAGGCGTTATCTGTCAATTCAAGAGAAACCGTACGAATTAGTAGCAATAAATGGAATATTCGTGCATCGAAAAGATTCGAGTCGTTCGCACACACTACCCAGCAAACTCAACAGCAGATTCGCATGACGAGCTCCTAGATGATGGGGCATCCAGTGAAAACCTGTGTAGCGAAGCACTGTGCGATTGGTAGAATGCGCGTCAGTATCCGGGATGAAGAATGATGTGAGGAAAAGTGTGGAAGCCCTTGAACACTGCAGAGCGAGAAGATCTTACATTAAAGCTATCCGCATTCTTGGCTCGCTGAGCAGTTGGCAGAGTCTGGTCGAAGAGGCAGCCATAGCCGTAGTCAATGACCCAGTTGGTGTTGGGTACGTTGTTCGCAGCGGAGTTGGCGTGAACCATCTACAAGAGATCATGAAATGAGCAACGGTCGTGGCGAAAGAACCGTCTCAGTTGTACCTCGTGAAGGGTAGTACCACCGCGGATCCTGCGGTCGTTGACGGCCACACCACCATCAGCAAGTTAACAAAATTCTGGCGCTCTGGAAATTTTTTGAGATTTTTGCGCCGCCACTTGAGCTCTTGTTGAGAGATAGTTTGATGGGTTTGGAAACTTTGAGCAAAGTTCCAGAGTGGTCGCTTGAGTGAGTGAGCCGCACGAGCAATGCCAATTTCGCGTTGGCGCTCTGGAAGCTCTGGAGCACTCTGACCAGAGCCACAGAGTGGCGTCAGTGTACTGATGACTGCACAGTCTATCCGAAGAGACTTCTCTGTAGAAGATGTCGCAGTAGTAGATCTACGTGGCACTCGTATCAGAGCTCTTTCACTGGAAATTGACGAAATCGTTCAGAAGACTCACGTTGCTAGTGCGTATGACCGTGTACGCGATGACATTCCCCCCTGTGCAACTGCCCGTGATATCAGCGCAGTTCAACCTGTGACATATAGGTCAGCCTTTGAGGTATACCGCATGAAGGAGCCTCTTACGTGCGAGCAGGAACAAACTCGGTCTCGACGCCAGTAAACCTGGTGCGGATGGAAGCTGCGATGTTCGTCTTGAAGTATGACTGGAACAGCGCATCGCGCCCCCTCAGGAGGACGTACCTAGCAGCAATTTTCGCCAGGTGCTTGCTTTCGAGATAGCTGCATAAATAGGGGCGGCTCAGAAGGACGTATTTGGTGTGTATTCCGAAAATGCTTACCTGGCGGTGATGAAGCGCCTCTTGATAGGGTCGAGACAAACGTTCGTAGCTCGCTTTCCAAGGCCTTTGTCGTTGGGCTCGGGCTCGAGCAGACGATCCTCCACGTCGTCAACGACTGTCAAAGTGAGCTCTTTCTCCGGGGCGGCCTTCAGAACAGTGAGAGGTGTCGACGGGACATCTGGAGCCAGAGCCGCAAGAGGCTCAAAGCTATATTCACCAGATCCAGCGGCAGAGAAGTCGTAGAGCACAGCCACTAGAAGGGGAGAATCTGGGAAATGGAGGCGGTGCCGACGTTTGTGTTCGACAGTGATGGTCTGATTCGGAGCGAGAGTAGTGTAGAATCCATGTTCGTTAAATGTAAGCGCAAGCTGAGGCTATCGAGATGTATCAGCACAGATCCTATGAAGTTCCTCGAGAAGAAGCACGTACGATAATGCCCACGAACTTCACCTCCTCCCCGCCTTTCCTTACGATGAAAGATTGGGTAGGGCTTCCATTCCAGATGCCGCCGAACTTGACGACCTTGATAGGTGCTCCACCGACGTTGGTGACCTTGGCAGAAAGGCGCAGGTCGTCGATGGACTTGACGGACTGGCCCTTCGCGTTCGACAGGGTGATTGAGAGAACATCGTCAGCCTTCGCAGGCTGACGCGCCGCTCTAAGATCCGGAGGCACGAGAGCTGCTTGCGAGAGGAAGACGTTGCATGCGAGGACGAAGATAGTGGTTGGGCCGAAGAAGAACATGCTAGATTGAAGGAAGTTGGTTTGGAAGTCGTTGGGTTAGCTGTGAAGAATTGAGCTGAGGCTCTTCGCTGCTGAGTCCTTCGACTTCATAGCTCTTCGAGGATAGTACACGAACGCTGTTTCAGAGAATAGAGGAAGAGATGACAGCGACATATGCTCATCGTTCGACTTGGTGCGCGAGATGGTTTCCAGGGACTAAGCTTTCTAAGAGTGCTGCCGGTCGTGTAATTCTGCACTGATCTAACACAACTCCAGTTTGTTTGAGAGTGTCGTACAAGGGAGAATAGCAAGTACATGATCTTGATATAAGCGTCGGGAACGACCAGAGAAGCAACAGCAAGTTGGTAGCTCTCACAGGGCGCATCCAAACAGACCGGGTAATGTCGAGACCATGTCTTCAACACGAGTGAGAGCGCGTACAGAAATCCTCGGCCAAGCGCAGCCTGCAGCTCATTATACTTACGATGTTACCCCGCTGCACATGGAAGCCCCGAGGCGCCAAAACACCAATTCAACAAAAGTTAAAGTCTGAACGACTTCATGATTTGCATTGCTAGCGTGACACAGGTACAGGTCGGCGTGATTTCGGTGTGTAGTGGTGATAACCAGGGGCATATGATGGTCATTATGAGGAGGGAAGACGAGACTGGGGTCAGTGATGAACCTGGATGTAGACAAGATCAAGGGAGAAATTCAAATTAGAATTGGGGGGGTATATTCGATGACGTAATCAGGCTGTTCCTGAGAGACGCCAGAAAACGAGTCTAGAAAAAGAAAACGATCAAGACGCTAAAGCTACCACAAAGGATCTGTATCAAATAACTGTCCATACACACGATCACCCCAAAGAAAAATGGCACCGACCCTCGCCGGAGAAACCACACCACACTAAATGTCCTTCACCTGATCTTCAAGCCAGTTCCACAGCTCCTCCCCAAGTCTAGCGTCGCCAGCCTTGGGGCTCGGTTCACCAAGGCGAGCCCAGGCGGTGAAGTACTGCTCGAACATGAGTTAGAAAGTGAAGCAGAATATAGAAGGAGATTCGACACATACCTTGCCCCCATAGGTCTCGGTCTCCGGCGACGTACCAGCCCAGAGCTGTGTCAAAGGTCCGTGGGACTCGGCCGTGTATGGCATGATTTTCTACAGGGAGGAAAAAAGAGGTCAGGTCAAGGTATCAGAGCAATGGGGCAATGAATAATGAACGTACCATGAAGCATTTCTGGAACCCTCCAAAGTTCCTTTGTAGTTCTGATTTGACGATACCTAGGAGAACAGTGTGTTGGTTCGGAAGAATGCCAGTAGCACACATGCAGTGACTGACCCGGATGCAAAGACGTAGACACAATTCCCATGTCACCGTACCTCTTGTGCAGCTCCTGCGCGAAGATGACATTCGCCTGAAGCTCTGTTAGTCGTGCTTTCAGAACACAGACGAAGGTATTGATACTCACCAACTTGCTCTGCCCATACAGCGCCTCGATCCCCACCTTGTTCCTTTTCTCAGAGTGGCCTCGAACAATACTAAAGTCGATGCCGGTGGCGTTGTAGTGGGCGATAGAGCTTGTGTTCACCACGCGAACTCGACAGGTGGGCCCGGAGAAGGGGCGAGGAGAGGGTTGAGCCGCAGTAGCGAGGAGAATCGGGAGCAGCAACTTCGTGAAGTAAAAATGACCGAGCACATTAATGCCGAATTGGTCGTCGTAGCCATCCGAAGTGAGGCTTTCAAGCGGGGGGTGCATCACACCTCTAGGAGAAAACGTCAGAAAACGCAGGGTGAGGGCGAAGAAAAGGACAAACCCATTATTGAAGAGGATATGGAGCTTCGACTCTCTGTTTGTATAGTCCCCGACGGCTCGCTTGACGCTTTTCAGATTGCCGAGGTCCAGCTCAAGAAAGTGCGCGTCAACCCTGCCGTTCACCTCATTTCGGAGCTTCCCGATGGCCTCTTCTGCCTTCGTGCGGCTTCGACCGGCAATGTAGACTTTGGCGTTCTTCTTGAGGAGCGCCTGAAGATGAACGGTCAGCACACTGAAGACATCCATCCTACAGCCTAAGATGGGAATACTTGCTTTGACGGTCTGGTATCCAATACCAGCGTATCCTGCACAATGATCACCTCAAGTCAGCTTTGGAACATGCAAGGGAGTGCACGCAGCGTACCACCAGTGACCATCGTCACAAACCCTGTAAGATCAGGCATGTCCCTCTCCGGCAGGAAAAGGGACTTTGGTGGGAATACCAAGCCGAGAGAAACCATTGTAGGAGTAGAATATGTGTTGGAGAAGCTGAGGGAGGTAGCGGTGCTGTGTAATTTCTGAGCTTCGACGAGAATCAGCTCTTATACCACTGGCAAGAAAGCTTCATGCTGTTCTGCCGGCGTGCGTACGTAGCTGTGCCTCTGGGGTGCGTTGCGTATTTCCGACTCGGACGACTATCGCACGGCTGGAAGTACGCGTCTTCGTCTTGATACGAAGGTTGAATAGAGTTGCAGGTAACGCGTCTGGTCGGCAGCT